GGTTGCCTGGAGACATTCTGGTTAGGAAATCACATCTTGCCCTGTGAGTCTACCCACCTGAAGGACTTGGCAGGTAAATCAGGTGCAGTTTAGCTAGCCCCCTGATAGCCACCAACATTAATATGGCCAGTGTTAGCTGGGTCACATAGGTCATATAATCAAACTGATATCTGTATCTGAAGTTACATGTCAAATGCTGGACTATCCATCATAATACAATATTTTACTTGATCTTCTCATCTTGATATTTGCAATGTGGGTCTTTGTAATTTGTGTGGAATCAACTCTAGAAATGGACTTCATTGATTCCTTGACTGGCCCCAGTGCACACTTTGCATTTTTTTGCAGATGTTCATCTGAAATGTGTTTTACAGGACAGTCCAGAGGCTGGAGGAGCTGGCTGGACACCTCTCTGTCAATCACACTCCTCCCACAAAAGCTTCAGGCACTCATGCCCCCTGCAATACACTGACCATCTGGTGTATAGTCTGTGCTAAGATGGCCACAACTATCAGCTTGATGGCAAATAAACTTTTGTTAATCAAGCCAAATACTAACTAGGCACCAGAAACAAGCAGTTGTTCAGCACAACATGACAACATAACAATAAGCCTCCCTGATCAAGATTTTGTGGCTGTGTGGAAACAAAAAAAACCACACTGTGTAATGATGTGTGCCTGGTTGTTTTGCATGTCAATGAAACGTCCCTTTCCTGTCAAAGTTGGCAGTGGACTGGGATGAGGTGACATGGGGTCAGTCTATTCTTACTTTATTTAAAAAAGATGATGATCAAATTTGGAAAATGTTTAGATAAGGTGTTTCCAGACTTTTGACAGGCAGTGCACAAATTTGTCCTGCACGTTCTCTCTCGACCTCGCTCGTTGTAGCCACTCCACCAGCAGATGTGTGACACGCCTGGGGCATTTACCGGGGCACATGCCAGGATGTGCTGCGTGAATCACAGTCCCACAGTTGATTAGTAAATGTCCCTCTCAGCAATTTGTAGGAGCAAACGGAGTGTTTCATCCCTCCATCTTCAGCCACTAGTGAAGGAGGAGACATGAGGAGAGGAAGCTGGAGGAAATGGGGCAATCAGTGAGTGGATTGCTCTTGAGCGTAAGGTCAAAAAGTCCTTCATCAGTAATTAGCACAGTATTTAAAAGGCATGTAGGGCAGAAGGGTCCAGCACGTTTGTCATGCTTTGAGCAGCCGGCTGGGCAACGGCTTTTAACCCATGTCCCACATGTGCTTCTATGTCTGGAGGTGTGAAGCCCAGCTGAGCTGCAGCAGCATAAGAAGTAGAAAAGAAACAGGCAATGAGCTGTGACTCCCGAAAATTAATAACATCTTTTACTTTCGGGTACACTCTTCAAAATAAAGGTTGCTTTGTGGTTCTTGGTTGTAAGGTTCGAGGTAAAACCTTAAATTTGGCTAGAACCTTTTATATTATCTCAAAGGTTTGTTATACTTTAAAAAGGTTATTCACTGGCAAGAAGTTTGAGTTTAGTCTGTGGTGAAGTTATCCATGGCCAGGAGTCCAAGAGAGAATGATTGTCCTTGTGTTGTGTGGTGGATGAGGCCCTCCCTCTCCCCCGTCATTCAGCGCAATGCTAGCCAACATAGGTGTCTGTTAGTTAACAGAATGGGCAGTTAGGGTTCTCCTCCTAGTATGTTGAGCTGCCAAGGCTCATTTTTACTCCCTTAATGTAAAAAAATGTCCATTTAAAATTATGTAACCGTCAGTGTCCACATACTTCAACGAGTCCTTTATGTTGGATGTTAAGCAATACATCCACTAGAGGGCAGTCCAGAGTCAAAAGGTTCTGACAACAACAAACATGGTGTTGGTGGAGGAGTTCATAGTAATGTACCTACTATGAAATAGATGCAAGAGGCAGCATTGTAGACAGTGGTGGTCTGTGTGGTCATTAAAGACTTTGTGACGTGGGCGGAGAATTCTTTTCACTTATTACCAATGAGAGAAACTGATCATCTCTCGCTTGAACTATTGGCTACACTGCTCCCCACGATTTCTGGTGGTACTGCTCTGTTTCGCCGGTATCCGTGAGCTTTCAGAAAATGAAATGTGCACAAAGATGGACAGAATTAATGCAAAGTACGGACATAAGGCTCCATCCGTATCCATATCCATATTTAACATTGAGCATAAATGAGCCTTTAGCGGTCATTTGAAAAGATGTAGCAAAAGGAGCCTGTGCTAGCCTTCACTCTCCCAGTTTGGTAGCTTTGTGTGAGGTGTAGGCCCAGTGGGAACTGGCCAGAACTACTTCAGGGGGTTAAAATCAACCCCTCCCCAGTAATCCAGTGCACACTTTTGATCGATCCAAACACCCAACAGATAAGGACCGAACAACAGTATGGGCTGTCCAGGGGTCCCTGAGGGCCACTTTAAGAACCACTAAATTAGGGAACCAATGGTTGTTCTATAGGACAAATCAGCGGTACATCACAACAGCAAAGAACTTACTTCCAGGTGGAGAGCACTGCAACTCGTTACTTAGCCAAGATTTTGGAAAAACAGGAAGTCTGATCTTCTCTGGTCACTAACTTTTTAATTTGTGTGGCTAATTCTTGTCTTATAGTCATGCACTGGCATCAGCCATGCATTTTTCATTGCACTCATAGAGCAAAAGCACTCATTCTGTGGGTGCTTGTATGAGTGGTAATAGCGTTAGCGGCTTATAGCTTGTTTCGCCTTATATCAAACTCTCCTTAAAGTAATACTTCAAAATAATGCCATTAACACATCAATGTACCATCCTAGTTTAAATTCTGGTGCTCTTACTGCTGATATAATAGTGCTTGGCAACTTCATCTTCATCTGGAAGGGTAAAGAATTCATTAACTTGTCATTAGCTGCAAGTGTTGCCAAAGGCAGAGGATCCCTCAGTGGAATTAATACTACTTACAGCAGCATCATAGCTTCAAACACAACAAGGTTTTACTGTTATTGCCAGTGTTTTGTCTGTTATGTTTGTGTTTACTGTAAGTTAAGCCCTGAATTGAGGCTTCAGGGCTGACAGGACGCACCAGGAAGAATGGCCAACCATTATGTTTGCAAACTTTCTGATTCAGTCTATGGAATTTCTATGACATTAACCCAAAGAACCCAGGTACCCCAAAAGGGAAGTCTGGACTGTGCTGGATTGAGGCCCTCCAGGAGTGGATCTGGGTGCTTTGGTTATTCTACCATCACCGTGATTTAGAAGATAAAGTACACTTTACATATGAGTGTAAGAGCCTCCTCTGAAAGTCCTCCCACCTTGTACAGACATCATATTTTCATATTCATATTTTCACGATTTTTCAAGGATAAGACCCGCGGGCAGGACTTTTGCAAACATTCCTTAGAAGAAAAAGAAAATAGGGTTACAAATGACCATGAGTTATATTCCTTTTACGGCTGATTGCATCCAATTTAGAGAGCAGCGATCTCATAACACAGTTTAAAGATAAAACCCCTCTAAAAGGTCCACTTTTAATGTTAAAGAAGGCATTTTATTGCTCTCATAACGGCTCTCAACAGTGTGTGTGAGTGTGTGTGCGCACATCGGCCTCCTCGCGACTGCCAGACCCATCATCCGGACTCATCCGTCTCCTCAGCACTTTCTGACCGAGGAGAGATCAATGTTTGTGCTGGAGGTTCTGCTGCTAAGGATATGATAGCCTTCAGCAGCTACTAGCATTAGCAGCAGGGGAGATTTTCCTCAATAAATGTCATCGCTGGCTGTTCCTGGAACAGTTCTGGACTTCACTTTAAGTGGTCTTATTCAGGGAGGTGATTGCTAACGCTAATCCTAGATGAGCTTGAAGAAGCAGAATAGAGGGGGTTTTACTGTTCAGGGAAAGCCTTCATATATCCTGCGTCTGAGAGCCGGTATACCCTAGAGTCTTTTTCAAGCTTCTATAGGTGGTGTGTCAACTTATGTATCTGCTTATCCCTGAAGTAAGACCTAAAAGTTTCAAAAAAGTTTTTGTTTGGGTTTTTGTTTGTTTGTTTCCAGCTCTGGAAATTGAGCTTGTGGGACGATATAAGAAATGTGTCCTTTCTTATTTGCCCACTTGATCACACATAATTAGACCTACTTTACATTACAGTAGACGCAATATGCATCAGCTTTTCCCAGTAGAAGATAGAGGCATTTCATATCTAGTCCGTATGCTCTGTGCAATAATTGACTCGGCTTTGCTTTACTAGACTGTGGAACACAAGGGAGCTTGTGCTTGATACAAGAGCTGAGTCTGTTTATTGAAGTTTGTTTATTAATCTTTCTCATAATCCGCAGTAGAGGTCAGAGCACAGCACATGGTTCACATAGGCATATCAAAGATACAGAGTCAAGAAATGGGTAACAAGGGTCAAACCTAGAAGACCAATCTATAAATATAGTAAACAAGTTAATGCAGGAGTTTTGATTAGCTTAGAGATTTAACAAGGACTGTGAGGTTGAATCAAAGGGTCCTTGTCAGTTTGTAAGGTCGGAAAATTGTTACGTCACCAAAATTGTAACTACCAGGATTTTTTGCATTCAAGTATTCATCAGCAACTGGTAAATTTCTCACATCAAAGATGCATATATCTGCTGGAATGAACTAATGGCAACTTAATCTATTTTGTTTATGTGGTATCACAGGATATTCTGGCTGGTGATGCATTACAACTCATAAAATCAGATAAATAGAATTTTCCTGTATACCACTTTATAACTTTTTTAGCCATTCCGGCCCAACTGCCTTGTGGTAATCCATAAAATTCATGACATGCACCATCAAAAGGCAGCAAGCAGACTAATGGCATAAGACACAGGTGAACATAAGGATGAAAAGAAGGTAACAAGACACAGGTGAACATGATAATGAAGGGAAGGTACTAGGGTACTCACAAGCTAGAAGGTACCATGATCCCAGGAAGGGGATCCAGTGATATCTGACCCTGTTCTGAGCAAATGTCCTTACATTTGTCTTCTCTGTTATGTCAGTTACAGACAGCCGGATCCTGGAGAGCCTTCAGCGTTACTCCTCCGCCCCCACTTACCTGCCTGTCAGCTACCAGCTTCTCAACACCGAGTCATCCTTTTTCCTCAAGGAGGCCACGCAGGACTTCATGCGCAACTCCAGCCTCCTTGCCAGAACTGAACCTTTCTTCATCCACCAGGCCAGGAGACCTCCAGTCATCAATGCCAGCTATGGTACACTCTTTGTGGAGCAGCCTGTACCTCTGGAGCTCCTCCAGACCCCTGGCACCTTTGTGGCCTCCTCAACCCTCTTCACCTTCAACTGGAAGGTGCAGACTTTTGTCCTCACAGAGAAGATCTACCTGGACAAACCCAAGGTTCAGGTTCTTTTCTACGTAGCTGGGAGGGACTGGGATGACTATAGCACTGTGGACAAGTTGCCTTGCGTGCGAATGTTTGCCTTCCACGAGACACAAGAAGTTCGCGGCAGCTGCAGGCTCCGGAGTGAGCTGGGCATCTGTGTTGCTGAGCTGGAGCCTCTTCCTGGTTGGTTTGCACCTCCTAGTGTGGTCCCAGGACGCCAAAGAGGCACAGATTTGTCCAAAGGGACTCCTGTGGAGCTTTACTACTCCCTTCACTCGGTGGAAAGCAGTGAGTGCCTTGGTGAGGAATCTGGAGTCAGGAATTCTGCCCGACTAGAACAAGAAGGCATGTTTGGATCCGCCACATCTACGCCCATGAGGAGGATCGGAAGCGTGAGATTGTTCCGGACACCAGCTGTTCCAGAGTTGTCAGAGCATCGGCTGGACGGGAATTTTGCAGTGCTCGTGCCATCAGCGCCGGTCCGGCCGAGGGATAGTGTGTCGGCTTACGTGGCTGCTTCACCCTATTCACCTGTGGAAATGTTCACTCTGAGGTAGGACTGCCAGGTTTCTCAGCAATGTTCTTTGCGGGTCTTTCTCCTCCAAGTTCTTGCAAATAGGACAATTGGAAGATTGTTTGAGATTCTTAGATGTTCATGTCACAGATCATAGGACACACTCAGGCAGTTTATTTTGAAGATGATGGCAAGGTTCTCATGTTTAAACCCTCAGGGCCTGGTTTCACAGCTTAGGCCTAAAACTTGATACATTTTTTCATCGATGAAATTCTCAGTGCAGTTGGTCAGTGCAATAGTACCCAAGAGAAGGCTTGGTAAAGTGGCTCTTAAAGTTTTTGTGGATGAACTTTTGTTGATGGACTTTTGAAAACGGGTTTATGGAAAGATACTGGCGTCATTTCTAGACCTTATCTTATTTGACTGGTTTACTCCATCACAGATAATTTGAAGCAACTTTTGTTGCAGTAGATGCTGGTCTGCCTGAGCTTTTCCCAGAACAAGATTGAGTCATTTTATTGCTGGTCTGCCAGAATCGTTACATATTGTTTTCAGATCAGTGGACAGACCTTTCTGTCCTCTGTTTTCTGATGACTCTTGTTGGCTCTCGCTGCTTGAACTCCCTCACTTCAGTGTATTTTGACTTTGTAGTTGCTTGATTTAGCACAGCTTTTTTTTTTATTTACCTTGGCGGGCAGAGAAGCGTTTTCATCTCCGAGGAAAAATATCACTGAGCCTCGCTGAGTCGGTGGGCACTAATTAGAATTTGCAGATGCAGCTAAGTGATTTAGGTAATTAACACACAATGCAAATGAGGATGTCATCAATTAGAATGCGCCTCCATTAGCGTAATGACTGTGAGTTCCTCCGATCGTAATCACGGCGGGTGAGAACATTTATAAACCATAAGAGACGCGACGTGACAAGAGGTCAAGCCAATTTGTCAGCCCTTGTAAAGGGAAAGAAGCTAATGTGCAATGATGTAGTAGAAGGAGATGCTAGCATGCTAATGAAAATGAAAGCAGACTGCAATGACTAACGAGCTGATGAGACCTCCTCCAACTCAGGGCAAGTGCTGAGCTTGCGGTGCAGTGTTGTGCATCACTTATTGGAAAGTTTGTTTTTCAGAAATGACGGCTGGAAGCTGGTGACCAATGAGAACGTCTTCTTGCTGCTTTCTTCAGTTCTTTGAGAAAAAAGGGCAACACTTTATTTTAAGGAACACATATTGGCCCAATTTGGACACTTCTAAATGGTTTATTCACTATGCATTAAGGTGTATGACCTGAATTACTGCGTAATTGGAGGTCTGTCATATGGTTATCATTAATAATTGCATTATTAGTTGTAATAATGCACAAAACATTTTATTAGGACTGTGTCATTCTTATCGAATTAGAGATTCATGACCTAAATTGACATCTTATTAGTGTTTAATTGGAAACCTTTTAATCCTGAAAGTTCTTGTTAACGTGTTCTGGTCAATAATACGTCAATTTATGCTCCATATTCTCAAGTAGAATTATAGTTTTCACATATTAGATCTGCCAAACAAGAATAAAAAATAGACCGAACATTCAGTGCTTATTCATAATATTTTGATTGCAATAAACTTGGAAATATTCATTACAATAACACAGTTTGTCCCATTTAGTGGTCTAGCAGTAATGTTTTGAAATTAAAATAAAATATTCCCAGCTGGTATAATTTTGGCTACCAAAAGCCATGAAATGGTCTTTCCTTTAGAATCCTTTTTACTGTTCTTGTATTAATCTTATTGAGAACTCAATAGACCCAAATATGTGTTCCTTAAAATAAAATATGAAACAAAGACATCAGAAGCCCTTCAGTATTTCTCAAGTATCTCTTATTATGGTTCATTGATGTGTGGTATATTCTTCTGGGAGTCATTTCTTGGTCTAAATCCAAGCAGCTGTTTTAATGACATGGATAAATTAATCATTGTATTTTTAACGGCCCATATCTTATGTTTTTCCCCACTTATAACAGTTGTGTAGTTCTATGTAGCAAAACCAATCATAAATCTTTTTTACATTTTGTTACTGTGCCTTTAAATACAGCAGAATACATCAAACAACAAAATAACTACACATACTCAAACAGCCGGACTGGCTGTTGGTGTATATCTCAGAACTGCTAGAAGCCTGTTTCATTCAGTAGATTAATCACAGTCAGGGGGAGGTTTGAGAACAAATGCAGTGACTAGGACCAAATGGCAGTCAGGGGGAGGAATTAGAATGAATTATGTGGTGATTAGGACCAATCCCAGTCAGGGGGAGGAATTAGAATGAACTATGTGGTGATTAGGACCAATCACAGTCAGAAAGAGGTCTCAGAACCAATTATGTGATGATAAGGACTAATAACAGTCAGAGGGAGGCCTCAGAAAAAAAAATATGTGGTAATTAGGACCAATCTAAATCAGGGGGAGGTCTCTAAATTAATATTCCAGGGTTAGGACTAATCATAGTCAGGGGGAGGTCTCAAAATTATTATTACAGGGATTAGGACAAATCAAAATCAAGGGGAGGTCTCTAAATGAATATGGCAGTGATCAGAACCAATCAGAGTCAAGGGGACATCTCTAAATTAAGGATGCAGTGATTAGGACCAATCACAGTCAAGGGGAGGTCCCAGAGCAAACATTTCAGTGATTAGGACCAATCGCAGTCAAGGAGAGGTCCCAGAACAGACATTGCAGTGATTAGGACCAATCATAGTCAGGGGGAGGTCCCAGAACAGACATTGCAGTGATTAGGACCAATCACAGTCAGAGGGAGGTCTCTAAATGAATATTGCAGTGATTAGGACCAATTACAGTTAGGGGAGGTTGATTCTATTCAGTCACCTAATTGTGATTAATTAGAACCAATCACAATTAAGGGAAGGTCTCTAAATGAATATTGCAGTGATTAGGACCAATGACAGTGAGGGGGAGGTCTCAAATAGAATAATGCAGCGATTAGGACCAATCACAGTCAGGGAAGGTCTCTAATTGAGTAATGCAGTAATTAGGACCAATCACAGTGAGGGGGAGGTCTCTAAATGAATGATGCAGTGATTAGGACCAATCACAGTCAGGGGAGGTAACTGAACAGACATTGCAGTGATTAGGACCAATCACAGTCAGGGGAGGTAACTGAACAGACATTGCAGTGATTAGGACCAATCACAGTCAGGGAGAGGTCTCTAAATTAATATTCCAGGGATTAGGACCAATCACAGTCAGGGAAGGTCTCTAATTGAGTAATGCAGTGATTAGGACCAATCACAGTGAGGGGGAGGTCTCTAAATGAATGATGCAGTGATTAGGACCAATCACAGTCAGGGGAGGTAACTGAACAGACATTGCAGTGATTAGGACCAATCACAGTCAGGGCAGGTCTCTAAATAAATATTGCAGTGATTAGGACCAATCACAGTCAAGAAGAGGTATCTAAATGAATATTGCAGTGATCAGGACCAATGACAGTGAGGGGGAGGTCTCAAATAGAATAATGCAGCGATGAGAAGCAATCACAGTCAGTGAAGGTCTCTAATTGAATAATGCAGTGATTAGGACCAATCACAGTCAGGGGAGGTAACTGAACAGACATTGCAGTGATTAGGACCAATCACAGTCAGGGAGAGGTCTCTAAATTAATATTCCAGGGATTAGGACCAATCACAGACAGGGGGAGGTCTCTAAATGAAAAATGCAGTGATTAGGACCAATCACAGTCAAGGGGAGGTCCCAGAGCACACATTGCAGTGATTAGGACCAATCCGAGTCATAGTCCTTATATGTTCAGTGTGAATGGGCGGGGCTAAAGTGCTCTAGGTTGAATTGACAGATATCAGTTGATACATCGGTTTTACGACATTATAAAGCAGTGAATTCAAAACAAGCTGTTTTTCCAGCTTAATTGCCATGTATGACCTGTATGGAGTGAAAAAGGAACAGTTGGTTTAATTCAGAAAAGTGAGGAAAATGAAGTTTCCCATGATTTGAGACCTTTTGTTTGGTTAATTTGGTTAATTAATGTATGGTATGTTCTTGTTTTGATCTAAAGCGATTGTTTCAACGACATGTATAAATTCATCAGGCCTTGTAGATGTTATTGGTCATTGTGTATACGTGCGGAAAAAGGAGGAAATTCATTTTTGGACATCATCCAAAGCCTCCTTATGATCTCCAGCCCCACAGCTGAGAGATGCAGATAGGACCAGAGCTGTAACAGATGCTGGCAGGTATGTGTGTTTGTGTGGTCTAGAAAGCCCTTGTGACCAGCGGGGAAACGACTCTGATCTTTTCGAGTACAACATAATTATAGTTGGCTGCATTACTGGCTTTCTAAAGACCAGCCTGCTGCATTTCTGTCCACACGAGTGAAAGATCTATGCAGATTAAAACAGCTTTAAAGACGGTCTTTAAAAGCCTTCCACAGAGACGCTCCCATCAATTTATGCAAGTCCGAGTCAATTTATGTAAGACTCCAAGTCAAATATCAAGTCTTTTGGGGGTGGGGGGGCGGGATGGGGGGCAAGTCTCAAGTGCTTCATCACGAATTTGATTCAAGCCTGTAGCTTCCTTTGGCGGTGAGAGGGCTGCTATCTGGAATCGATGCATTCAAGTTGATGTGTAATGATGAAATATGATGCATTAAATGATATATTAACTCATGAGCTGATATTTAATGATGAAGTATTATACATTAAATGCCCAGAGAATGAGTGTAAGCAGGATTAGTAATTTCACTTCGTAGATCTATAGACCTGCGGACAAGACACATGAATTATACCAGCAAGACTGCTGGTCCAATTAATCAAGCTTTATTACGGTTCAGTACAAGATACTGACAAAATACTGACAGTGCAAAATGCTGCAATATGCAGATGAATCTCTGTCCAGTCACTGAATATTTTGTCGAATGCTGTGGGCAGCATAACTAATCACAGGCGCTTCTGTGGATATTTTAACATGTCAAGGTAGAGGGGGGTGGTGCTGAAGTCTATCCCAGCGGTCATTGGGTGGAAGG